TTGCCAGCCCGCTCAGAGATGTGTATAAGAGACTTATCTGTCTTCGCGTGAAATGTGGTAGAAACTTATCAAATGCTTATACAATGTATCTCTCAATGTAATAAAAGTGGTAAAACAAATCGAATCAAACTTATATCATCTTATAATGCACTATTTGTGACTAACTAACGTTAATTTCTTATTTTCAGGTAACCCGTCGGCTCTATATTAGTAAAACTTATAAGGTGAGTATTTAACTCGTGAAATTGTGACTCAAACTGATTTTAAACGCTTTTTCTCTATGTTTTAGGTCCCTGTAAGTGGCTCGCTGCGGAATTGTAGTAATTATCGTCGCAGGTAAGTGTATCTTTTATAAATTGTGATTAATTTTAATTATAACGCATTTTTATTCGCTTTTCGCGTGTTTTAAACATGTTTCGACTATAATCGAACGTATACAATATAAAATATCGCGCTCATTCATTATTCATGCATATCACTCAGTGCGCTTACAAACAAAATTTAGTAAAACTCAAATACATCATATTTCTCTTGAGCCTAGATTTAAAAAATACATTTAAAGAAAACATAATTAAAATATTCGCAACATCTTGCGTAACATGAAAAACTTATAAACTTGAATACTTCTTCATTATAACCCGAAATACATTTGCGCTATTCGTCAAGCGACTTTTTCCAAATATATATTATCAAATCGTATAATGAGGCTAATATATATGCCCCCACAAAACAGAACAAAAATGTGGCAATTTGCCCCGCTGTCTTCTTAAAAGTCATTATTACTCGAGAGTCTTAATTATTTCTTCCGTCTGTCGCACCAATTCTTCGGTGTTCGTTGCATGCACGACGGGTTGCGCCACAACAGGCGCTATCATAGGCGCTCCAGCGCCAGTTTCAATTTCCTTCACCAACTTCTCGATGTCGTCGGCACTTTCTCGACGACTCGCTTCGACGCTCCCCTTGTCTTGCGTCTCGTCCGAAGATATATCTTCAAAGGTTGCCTCGGACGCTTGTTGCTGTTCTACTGCGGGTGATGCGGTGACGTTGCCGCCACAATTTGGAGCCGGTAGCTGGAACAGATTCGGTTCCAAGGTTAGGTTGTAACCGGACTTTTCGGCTATCGGACAACGAATCACGAAGCCCTCAATTCACGCAGGCCCTTTTGGCTCGTCTTTTCGTGATTCTTGCTAATTTTTACTTTACTTTATTAATGAAAACGTTACTAGGCGAGTACCGACTTTTACAAATATTAAACCGTGTATGTTTCAATGTAATTTCTTACTTTTATTCGGTCGCACCTTGTTTGACCTCAGGAACAAGGAAGGTTGAATGCTCAGGAAGCTGCCGTCGGACGTCCTTCCTTCAGGTACGCTGCTCGGTCTCACGACTTCCTGTCTCTCGGAAAGCGATGTGTGTGATGCGCAAGGCATGCAGGAACGAAACAGGATCATTAATCGGGTGAACGCGCTTTTGATTTATCAAATAATGTTTAATTAAAGAACGATTATAAGACATACGCGCACTCGTTCACTCGCATTCGTACAATTTGTCGGAATTACGAACGCGACGCGTTTCGCGGACCACGCGCGTTACAAGAAATTCACGACGGTGTGCAAACGAAATCGGAACCACGATTGCTCAAGCGGACTCAACGAAATCGCTCGCTATAAAGAAATTCGCTTCCGGATAATTTAACCCGACGCTCTGCAATTTATGCTTTTACGGCTGTCGGAAATAACGAGATTTACCAGATTACGGTGAACCCGATTCGTTTAATCAACACCTTGAACGGTCTTC